ATTTTCAGGATATTACATCCAAAAAAAACAGAATTCTTTTCAGGTGCACATGGAAGATTCTCTAGGATTGACCACATATTAGGAAACAAAATAAGCCTCAACAAATTTAAGAAGACAGAAATTATTTCAAGCATCTTTTCTGACCACAACAGCATGAAACTAGAAATCAACCACAGAAAAAGAAATGAGGAAAAAAAAAAAGAAACAGTTACATGGAGACTAAACAACATGCTACTGAAAAACCAGTGGGTTAGCTATGCAATCAAAGAGGAAATTAAAAAATACTTTGAGACAAATGACAATGAAAACACAATGATACAAAATCTATGAGATACAGGAAAAGCAGTTCTTAGTGGGAAGTCCATAGTGATGCAGGCCTTCCTCAAAAAACAAAAAATCTCCAATAAACAACCTAAGCTACCACCTGAAGGAGTTAGAAAAAAAAGAACAATCAAAATCTAAAGTCATCAGAAGGAAGGAAATAATAATCAGAGAGGTAATAAGTAAAATAGAGATTAAAAAGCAATAGAAAAAAGTCAATAAAACCAGGAGCTGGTTCTTTGAAAGAGTAAACAAAATTAACAAAGAATATGATGAGCAATTATATGACAACAAATTGGACAACCTAGAAGAAATGGACAAGTTTCTAGAAATATACAGTTCACCAAAACTGAATCAAGAAGGAACAGATAATTTGAACAGATTGATCACTAGAAGTGAAATAGAATCTATCACATTATTACACAGTTCATTACATTATTAACACTCCCTACAAACAAAAGTCCAGGACCAGGTGGCTTCACTGGGGAATTCTACTAAATATATAAAGAAGAACTTACACCAATCCTTCTCAAACTCTTCTAAAACATTGAAAAGGAAGGAACACTCCCAAAATCATTCTGTGAAGCCGTCATCACCCTGATACCACAATCAGACAAAGACACTTACCAAGAAAGAAAATTACAAGCCAATATCTTTGATGAATATAGATGCAAAAATTCTCAACAAAATATTAGCAAAACAAATCCAACAACACATAAAAAAGATCATACACCATGACCAAGTTTGATTCATCCCAGGGTCACAAGGATAGTTATATGCATATCAATCAATGTGATAAACCACATCAAGAAAAGAAAAGGTAAAAACCACATGATCATCTCAATAAATGCAAAAAAAAGCATTTGATAAAATTCAACATCCATTCATGATAAAAACTCTTACCAAAGTGAAAGCTGTTCATGACAAACTCACAGCCAGCATAATAGTCACTGATGGAAAGCTGAAAGCCTTCCTGCTAAAATCTGGAACAAGACAAGAATGCCCACTCTCACCACTTCTATTCAACATAGAATTGGAAGTCCTAGCCACAGCAATCAGAAAAACAAAAGAAGTAAAAAGTACCCAAATTGGAAGGAAAGAGGTAAAATTGTCATTATATGCAGATGACATGATATTCTATATAGAAAACCCTAAAGAATCCACACAAAAACTGCTAGAACTGATAAATGAATTCAGAAAGGTAGCAGGATACAAGATTAACATACAGAAATCAGTTGCATTTCTTTACATTAACAATGATATATCAGAAAGGGAAAGTTAAAAAAAATCCTTTTTAAAGTTGCATCCAAAAAAATATTTAGGAATAAACCTGACCAAGTAGGTGAAAGACTTATATGCTGAGAACTGTAAAACATTGATACTGGAAACTGAAGATGATTCAAAGAAATGGAAATATATCCCATGCTCTCAGATTGGAAGAATTAATATTGTCAAAATGGCCCTACTACCCAAAGCAGTCTACCTATTTAATGTGATCCCTATCAAATTACCCTTGAGGTTTTTCACAGAACTAGAAAATATAATCCTAAAATTTATATGGAAACATAAAAGACCCAGAATTGCCCAAGCAATCCTGAGGAAAAAGAACAAAGCAGGAGACATAACCTTCCCCATCTTCAACAATACTACAAAGCCACAGTAATCAAAACAGCATGGTATTGGCACAAAGACATATGGATCAATGGAACAGAATAGAGAGCCCATAAATAAACCCACACTCCTATGGTCAATTAATCTATGACAAAGGAGGCTATAATATACAGTGGAGAAAAGACAGTCTATTCAGCAAGTGGTGTTGGGAAAGCTGGACAGCCACATGTGAATCAGTGAAGTTAGAACACTCCCTCACACCACACACATAAATAAATTCAAAATATCTTAAAGACTTAAATTTAAGACATGACACCATAAAACTCCTAGAAGAGAACATAGGAAAACATTCTCTGACATAAATTGTAACAATGTTTTCTTAGGTCAGTCTAACAAGGCAATAGAAATAAAAGTAATAAACAAAGGGACCTAATCAAACTTACAAATTTTGCATAGCAAAAGAAACTATAAACAAAACAAAAAGGCAACTCCATTTATTTGGACCTACCCATGCTGACTCTCACTTCAGGTTTTTAACCATTACTCTTTATTGTTGTAGCACTGTCCACGGAGAAAGGCATTGGCACAAGACCAGGTGTGATGCTGCAAGGAACTAGGGCATAATACAAGGTACTGGGAACTGGAAATGAAAGGAGGCCAGAAAGTAGGAAGTACAAGTGTGAAGTGATTTATCTGACTGTAGTATATAAACAAAGCTATTAATTAATTCTTGTTTTTTACAGAGCCAACATAAAATATATAAAGCACTACTAATTTCTCAACTCTTACTTGAATTCAAAAACTCTCCTTTGGGGAACAATTTATGTCAAAATGACTTCATAAGTATTCAGATGAAATTAGGAATATGTTAATACATCACATCTATTTGTGAGACACTTCCTACAATGAATTCAATGCTGATAAAGTATTTTCACAGAAAGATAGTACACAAAGTTTGGTCTCCATGCCATTTTTTGAAGAACGTTTATGCTTACTTGCATGCAGGTATGTGATAGATGGATGCTTTTGGCCAAGAAGGATACTAGTTATAGTTTTCACCTGAACATGGAATAACAACTTGGAATAATCAAGTGAAATTCAGTTATTTATCAAAACCAAGGGTCTTTCCACCTTTTTAAAAAACAATTTGCATTATTTTAATGTTTTTCTGTTTAGAGGCAAAGTGAGGGCTGTGAATAGGTGAGACTGTGTACTTAAATACTTTAAACCACAACCTGAGAGTTCTTAAAATGTAGTTATTAATGACAGTGTGTTAATAACCATTGTTTTGCTCTCTCAAGGGACAAAAACTGAAAGAAACCATTTTATTTGATATAAATCTCAAAGAACAACTTATTTTAATTTCTATCGATTGTACCCTATTTTTCACTGATCCATTCAAACAATATTTATTATTTATTATGTGCTGTGTACTATGTTAGTGCTAATATATATTTCCATAAATGTTTATGATGTCCTTCTTAACTCTCTATGGAAAACTGTGGGGTAAGATGACAAGAAATGAACTATATTTTATCAAAGATTCATTCATGTAGATATTAACATGAAAGTACTCCTTCATGACTTCTGAATTAACTGGTTTAAGCAGATATTCTGGAAAACTTAATCTCTTTTTTAAAATATGACATAATGATTATACCTAATTGAGTCAGTGTGTGGCATAGATGTTTATTGTTATTTTTGTTGGTATTATTCAAATTGTATGATTAAATTACTGAAGAGAATCTTTAGTATCTGGTATGTGTTACTTTGATCATTTTTGAATTAGTTATTCATAAAAGAAAAGCTAAGTAGATGTTGTGGTTACCTTACCTAAGTTATACTGGCTTTGTTTCTTTTTGGTTTTAACTTCTTGACCTGATCAACATCTGCCTTATATGAAACATTATTTAATTTTTTTCTTTGTTTGCTTTTGCTTCTGAACACCCCTTTTGACTTAAAAAAAAGTCATGCTTTTTTTTGGTCAAGCTTAAACTGTCAATTTCTTAAGCATCTTCCTGAATTGATTATCTACTCTCTCCACTGAGTATTGAAACACATGGTCTCAAGATTGCTCAGTCTCTTCAGTTGTTCAAGTGGAGCATGAAACAAAAGGCATTAAATACTTCCTACAAACAGGCCTCTCTAGCTATAGTGAAAATACTTTCAAAGCCACACAACGTAACTACCCATATTCAGAGCCATTTATGCACATATTGCAGGCAGGGTAATTCAACTTTCATACATTTATTTTTTTTAATTAAGAAAAGGCCAAGTAGCTATGTACCTTGTGCTGGATTCTGTTTGCTTCCACCAAATAAAGCAAATTTGATGGCAAAGTACCTTGTATGAAAATACCCTACATTTATCTTCTCTGGATTTAATGTTTATTAGAGATTATGATATAAACTACTATGGTGATAAACATAGAGAATTGATAACTGCAAAAGGCAGTCAATGCCTAGAAATCAAAGTGGTGTAGAATGGAAATGAAAATGAGGGTGTCAAGGACTGGCGTAACCCATATCATTAGACTGTTTTGAAAAATATTTCAGAAAGAAATGACCTCTTGTTTTATTTGTTTGATTTTTACTATTTTAAATCGCACAAGTAATCCTTTGCCACACAGTAGAGATTATCATACTAAGTGAAGTAAGTCAAAGACAAATATCTATGATATCACTTATGTGGAATCTAAAAAAAAAATGATACAAATGGACTTACCTACAAAACAGAAATAGACTCACAGAGATAAAAAACAAACTGATTATTACCAAAAGGGATAGTGGTAAAACAACAAGGACCTACTGTATAGCACAGGGAACTATATTAATATCTTGTAATAACTTATAATGAGAAAGAATCTGAAAAAGAATGTGTGTGTATATATATATCTTTATATATCTATATATATATGTCTGTATATATATGTATAACTGAATCACTTGCTGTACACTTGAAACTAATACAACATTGTGAATTAACTATACTTCAATTTTAAAAATCTGAAAATATTAAAGAATTAATAGTCTCCTTTGAACTTGGTTTAAAAAGTGAATAAAGGGAATTCCCTGATGGTCCTGTGGTTAGGACTCAGCACTTTCACTGCTGTGGTCCAGGTTTGATCCCTGGTCAGGGAACTAAAATCCCACAAGACGCACGCATAGCCAAAAAAAAATTAGGTGAATAAAACCTGAATTCTTAATCCCAGTATCTTTCTTGAGCTTTGTTCATCTGTTTCTAACCTTCTTCTGCTGGACATTGCCAACTAGATGTCCCTGGCACAATGTCCAAAAAAAATTTACTCCTCCATCATTTGCTGCTTTTTCTAGAGTACATACATTTCAGTCACATATGCCAGAAAACTGGGAGTCATTTTTATGTCTCCCACACTTCCTACACATTAATCAGTCACCAAACCCATGATACCCCCAGAATTTCTCTTATTCTGTGTCCTTTCTTCCACTTTTATAGCCTCTGTTCTAATTTTGTCTTCTCGCTGAATTATTACAATAACCTTTTTCACATGTACCACCTTTACACTAATCTCTTTGGACTTCAGTCATTTTCCATACCAGAATAAAAACATCTAATTTTATATGTATAATAATAATAATATATATATAGCCATATACATATATATGTTATTTCTTCGTTTGTTTAAAACAAAAACAATATCCTTGCCTTATGATCACCTTCAAAATTCTTTCCTTATCACCTTCAAATTCAGCCATACAGGATGTGCAGTCACTGTTCTTTTATTCATGTGGCTCTTTCTGACTGGGAATACTTTAACCAAACCCTTATACAAATAAATAAAATCTCACAATCTCTCACACAAGCCCAGCTTCACTTTTTCACCCAGAATGTAAAATGCTATGATTTATTTTCTCACAGATCTATTTTGATCCTTTATCACAGGATAATCACAATGCATTGCACTGCATGGTTAACTTGTTGGTCTCCCCAACCCTATTCCTTTATCAAACTTGGAAATCAGAGACTTTAAAGATATGTGTACATTTTCCTATATATCAGGTACCCAGCAGAGTGTCTGCTGACATTAAGGAGGTTTGTGAGTGAGTGAACATCATGTGTTTCATATCCACATGATCTTATATTGTCAGTCTTTAGTCCTTCCCAAAGAACTCCCTGAAGTCCCCCTTAAGTGGGACCAAAGATGTACATTTTCCAAAATTGTTTCTACAGGCTGCTGATCCTATATGAGTACACCTGTTTTACATATTTTAACTAGATATCTGTGTTTATAACCCAGTGAAAGAATTGCTCAGAAAACACTTTATGGACTCCCAAGCCACCACTTCTTCACTTTAGATTCGATGGGCATAGTAAATATGAGGCATTATAAAAATTTAAGACAACCTCCAGAAAAAATGAGTTATTAAAAGTATCATTTATTTAGTAAATTTACTTCTAGATTCTAGGAGTGACCAAGAAGCTTAAGATCTATTGTGCCTATGTATTCAAGTATAGGACGCACAGAAAATCCTTCTGTTGTTTCGTTTTACATTGATTTATTTTGAGGTAATTTAATTCCCATGGATATTTTACTATAATATTTTAAAATATATTTTCAGGACATTTTAAAGTTCATCAGTTGGCTTTTTCGTAATTGCAAACAGAGACCCTAAGGATGAGGGCCAGGCATTATCATATTGATTTTCCAGATAAAGAATGATGTACACAGAAAGGGGGACTGTTTGTCTAAGACAACCAGAGCTAAGAAGTGGTAAATGATCTAGATCAACTTTAAGATTATTTCTATTAAACTATTTCAGCGTCTCAGCAGTTAAAAGTGTATGCAACAAAGATATTTTTGGTAATAGCCTTCAGTTCTAAATACCTTTGTGTGTTACATGCAATGTGTATTTTGTAAATCTCTAATAACCTTAGCTAAAATTTGAAAACTGAATTGATAATAACTAGAATATCTTTTTCTCATGATAGATACCAGTCATACAGGTACTTTTATCCTAAATAAATAAACATAGCCAATGCCTTCTATATTCTATTTCTGCCAAAATAAATTACCATAAATTCAGTGGCTTAAAACAGCAATTTTTTTTCTTATAATTCTGGAGATCAGAAGCCTGGTAGGCCTCTCACTTGGCTAAAAATAAATATCAGGAGGGCTTCATCCCTTTCCAGCAGCCCAGGTCTGTTTTGTTATTTTCCTTGCCTTTTCCTGCTTCTAGAGGCCATCTGCATTCCTTGGCTCCTGGTCCCCTTCTTTCAGCTTAAAAAATAACAACAATGTATCTCTTTTTTTGAGGTGATTTTTTTTTTAATTGAAGTATAGTTGAATTACAATTTTGTGTTAATTACTGCTGTATAGCAAAGTGACTCAGTTTTACATATATATATATGTGTGTATATATGTGTGTATATATATATATATATATATATATATATACACATATATATATATACATTCTTTTTTATATCCTTTTCCATTATGGTTTATCACAGGCTATTGGATATAGTTCATCACTAAGTATTAGAGAGATGCAAATCAAAACTTCAATGAGGTACCACTTCACACCAGTCAGAATGGCTGTGATAAAGTCTACAAATAACAAATGCTGGAGAAGGTGTGGAGAAAAGAGAACCCTCCTACACTGTTGGTGGGAATGTATGTTGGTACAGTAACTATGGAAAGCAGTATGGAGGTTCCTCAGAAAACTACAAATAGAATTGCCATATGATCCAACAATCCCACTCCTGGGTATATATCCAGACAAAACTGTAATTCAAAAAGATACATACACCCCTATTTTCATAGCAGCACTCTTCATAATAACCAAGACATGGAAACAACCTAAATGTCCATCAACAGATGAATGGAGAAAGAAGATGTGGTACGTGTATACAATGGAATACTACTCGGCCATAAAAAAGAATGAAATAATGCCATTTGCAACATGCAGATGCATCCTTATGCCTTTCTTCCATAGATACTTCTCCCTTTCTGACCACTTCTAGTAAAGCTCCTTTGCTTTCATTTGTTCATGTGATTAGATTAGGCCTACTTGGATAATACAAGATAATCTCATCTCAAAGTCTTTAGCATTATTCATTTCTGCAAGGTCCCTTTAGCTCTGTAACCTGTAGTCACAGGTTCCAGGGATCAAAACATGGATGTCTTTGTGGAACCATTTTTCTACCTACCATGCCTTCTTTTCAAAATAGGGAATGGCTTGGGGAAGTGTGAGGGAGTTAAAAGGACCATACAGAGGAGGTGGTCAACAGAAGTTTCATTTCTGATGTAGATAATAAATCAAATGAGGTTCAAAATAAGAATTTAAGTACCTATGGAATTAATTTTACGGTCAATATCATATTAGGGGAAGAAAAGTTAGATAATTATTATAATATCACCTACTCTTAAGGAAATATCTATTAATATTGGTACAGTTCTATTCCATTATTACAACTGATATTTATAGACTCTGTTAAAATGTACATCCCAGACTCCACCCACCACAGATGCTGACTCAGGAGGCCTTTGCTGAGGTGCAGAATTTTGCTTTTTAACAAGCATATCAGGTGATTTCTGATGACTGTGTCCATTTACTATCATCCTTCAAGGAATGATGCTGTAGTATTTATTTCTTTACCACTGGAGCTAGAACAGCTTAATTGCTCTAACTGGAATTTTGAACTGCTGACTCTGGAGAACATATATTATTCAAAAGTGACATTTAGTATGAAATAGAATAGCACAGTATAGAATTTTAAGTTAATGTAAATAGAATGATTGGGGCTTATGAAAAATACAACTTTTTAATCAGTTACTACACTTCTTTTATCATTTAAGGATTGTGTGCAATTAAAATGAGTTGAATATCAAAATAAATTCATTGATTGGCCACTCTACACATAAATCTGGGCCAACTGCTCTGTGAGGATCAAAGGAGTATTCTCCGTAGTCACACCTTTAGAAAGCATATTTGATCTTACCCATTCTGCTTTAAAGCTAAAGAGAAAATAATTTCTCTAATGGAATGTTAATGGAAAAACAGAGTTAATGTAGCTCATAAATTACGAAAGAAAATGTTAGTTTTAATATTACTATATTTAGTTTACTACAAATATAATACAAATTGAAGGACACTTTCTAATACTAAAGCCCAACTATGGAACTTTCCCAGAAAAAGAAGTACAGTGGTCCAGTAGAAATAGATTAACATTTTAACATAAAATTGAGAATGATTTTCTGATGCAGAGCTTAATATTGCTTTGTAGTGATCATGATAATGGTATCCTCAGAGCCAAATAATTGGGTATAATTTTATTTTACTGAATTACCACCTGTTATTTAACCCAGAGATGCAGTCATCTCCATGAGTTAGTTAACCTATGAGTACTATAAGAAAAAATGTTAATTAAAGGATTATTAGAAAACTTGATTTTTCTAATTTCTGATTATTTTTACCAATCTAAAACTTGTTTTCTACTCTTATAGTTTTATTATCAATTTTCATACATATTACAGATATTTATTAAATACCAGCATTCATTTAACAATTTATTTTTAGATTAGGTAGGTCACATATTTCCTTGTAGCTGAATTGAACTTTCCTAATTGAAAATCAGATTGGAAAGTTCATTTAACTTTTCTAATTAACCTATTCTAATCTATCCCCTTTGCTCTTAGAATAACTCTAACCACCTGAAGGGGGCTGAAAAGGTCAACACCATCTGACTCCTACTCCCCTCTCCAGCCCAAGACTAGGTTCCTGGCTCCAAGTAGCTCACAAAATAATGGAAAAAAAAAAAAAAAAAGAAGACACCTTGAAAACACAGATTAAAGTGTTATATGGCAAGTGACATTAACATAGAACTATTCATATGTAAAATAGGGTGTACAAATCCAGATAAGTTTCCTGACCTTTGCACTGGAGTTGGCAAAATGTAAAAGTAGAAGGAACCCCTTAATAAATTGATACAAATAAAATAAATGTTTTCTTCTATATGAAAAAGAAGGAGTTTTATTCTTTACTCTCCCTTTTGTTAGGACTTGGAAAGGGCTTTTATCCATTTTCTATGAATTTTATGAAGCATGACAAGATGTCAGCTCACAATTTACCACTCTCATTTTTTCCACAATCATCTCTCA